GAATCATTAGATAATGCTTTTGGCTAAAAAATATTATTTTATATTTATTAACAATAATTGCACATGTTAAATTGCACTTTGTTGCAATATGTATGTTGTAAAATGACTTCATTTTTCTATTTATAATAGCAAATTAGTATTCTTTTTAAAATAATTAGTTATTAGTTTAACATATGCAAATATATTATTAATATACGAAATAATATTTTTTAGCCAAAAAAACATTATTAACTAACTTACACTGTTAGAAACAAATGTGGAAAAAAGAAAAAAAAAGTTGCGAAAATCAAGTCTCGAATACGGGACTTCGAATCCGCTAGGCACTCGCCTTACTCGATTAAAAGCGCTTGTTTCTGAGCATTTGCCGTCCGCAATGTGTTTACGTCGGCTCGATGGTAGCAAGACAGAGACGTCCGCTCTCTCTCTATAGCCGAACGGCCGAGCGCACACAGACGCGTGACGTAAGCGCTTCTTACTTGTGTTGGGGCTCGAGAGCCGCGAGCCCGGTAGTAGATATCGCATCACTGCTCGGGGCCAATCAGACCATCCGAACGGTTCGACTAAACATGGTGACCCTCAGTGCTTGACGTTTATGTTCGGAAACGCATGATTGAGTGAAATCTTTTCAGTGAAAACGTAACCGATAAAAATGTTAATATCTAAGAAAAAAATACTAATACCTTAACGAAAAAGATTAATATTTTTATGTTAATTTTATATTTAATTTTTCTATATTGAGTTTATAATGTTTATTTATATTATACTTTATTACAGGATATTTATTAGTTTATAAAATATTACTTCAAAATAGATTTTTTTCTGCAAATTTGAAATCAAAATAATATATGTGACGAGAATGCTGCTAATATAAGCTGCTTGGAAACAGTAGTTTTAAATTTACCGCTTATCTGTGACGTCACACTTTGACAATTTTGATTGGTCGCGTGCGCAAGAGCATACCCTTGTCTTTATACCATGTGCGTATGGAGCTCTCCGGGGAAAACTGGCAGCTCTGCTTACATGTGGTTTACGATTGTGTACGACACATCACGACACATCACGACACATGTGTCTTGCTGTTGCATCTCAAATCAGGCATCACTGATCGTCAATACTTTGTGAATTTCCTTCTACAAAATAGTTGCTAATACAGCAAAGAGAGAAGTGAGAATATCGTATTGAATAACAGTTTTCATAATTGTCGGTTTAGGAAAGATTAAAACCGAACGTCACGAGACAAATGTCTGAAAAATTAGGAGGTATTGCTACTTTTACCAAAGAGGAATATGACAATTGTCAAAAATCTCTCTTGTCAAGGAAGGAGTGGCCTGGTCTCAATATTAATGCTGGTACAGTATGATATAAAGATATAAATTCAGATTAGTGAATATAAGAAGGCAAGTTTTAATGAATTTGTTATTTCAGCCTCAAAAGTGACATTAAATATACCAATGCTCATTATGGAATTACATCGATTAGTACCTTATAAGGAAGGGCGCTACGTACAGTTTCACCCATTCAATATGCCATATATCAAGATACGTAAGATTGAAGTAGTTGGAATCGTTACAAAAGTCAAGCGTAATGTCAACAATTTGTTTCTGACAAGTAAGACCAAAAATTGGCATTGTAAAATAATAAATACAATGATGGACAAAAGGATAACTACAGTTATTTCTACATAGTTGAAGATGGAACAGGAGTAATTCAGATCAATTATAAACTGGAGCAATATATGTCTCTATTAGAACAACGTAAGGAGATTGATGAGAAGTATAGAAACCAAGCTGGAAATTTAAAGAGAAGTGAAACAGAAGTTAAAAATTGTCCAAAGAAGTTTCCTAAAACACGTCCAGAATTCACTTATCCATCTAATTCGCGTCTGCAAGATATAGCTGTAAGTTCAATATATATATATCATAAAAATGTTGGTTTTTATAAAATGATCATATGTTTCAGCTATTTTTCAATTAAATATTAGTGTTAATATTTAAAGACATAGTAGAAATGCATATTCAAAAGTCACAACTATACAGATGCAGTATAACAATTATTTTTAATAACAGGTCTTGGAGAATAAATGGTGGTTGGAGACAAACGGTGGCTTATTAGGTAAAGAAATTGAACCCTTTGATTATGTATATGTCATTGGATATCCCTGTCTTGACGTAAGATTCCAAAAGATACCAGAACAAATTACAACAGAATTTATTGAGCATGCAAGATTAACTGTGTTTGCGTTATCTGTCACATGTCTCTCAGAAGAGGCATACAACAAAAAGTTATCAACATGGATAAGCACCACTATTCGCCAAAGATATCAAGAGCTAGAGAAGAAGTAAATAATGTTGAAATGCTGTAAAAAAAAGTTATGTATTGAAAAATTGTCATAATATATTTTTGTTACATTATACGAGATTATGCAACTTCAATCTCTGTGCATGAAAGAAGTCTGTTCTTCTTAGGTGTACTGTACTATTTTTTAAGTTGCTGTTTTGTGATACAAATACACATATATATATATTTACGTAATTTTAAATGCAGAAAATATAATGAAGTAACGCGGAGATAAGCAGATCTAAGAATCGTAAAAATAATGCACTTTATAGATTGGCAAATATGATATTAGTGTCGTTGACTTGTAACAGATGCCGCCGCTTATCTAAACCAGCCGCTTATCCTCTCTCTCTCCTTGCGACCCCACCATCTCTGCTGCGAAAAGTCGTGCCGTCTTTCTGTCCGCTGTTTGCCGTCGCGCGAATAGACGCCTGAATGTACGCTTCCCCGAGGATGGCCGCGATGCTGTCCAACTGTTCGCGGTTCGCGCCTCGTATGATCACGCGGGGTAATGTGTTACGGGCCAAGGTAAGTCTCTACGGCGAGTTCCGACTTTCGCGATCTGTATGGTTTTTTCTTCGCAACACGATTTCGCAGGTGTGACATTTATTGCTCAGGTATGAGATTAGAAGAGTCTCGGTCAAATCGTGCCTCCACTCGCGCGAAATTCGTCAGACCATCTCCGTCTTTGTTCATTGTACGATTACATAATACACATCTCCTTTCGACATCTTCATGACTCACGTATTGCGACCTGTCAATTACATATTGTGAGGAGTTTTCCTGATCACGAGACCGGTACTTATCGACCAGCATGCGACCAGATCTTGTGATTAATCTCCTTGATATGCTGCAAGTGCGGCCTCTTCCTCTCTCTCACTCTTCAAACAATGCCTATTTTTATCCCCGACCGTCAGTATCGTGTCAGTATTTCATAAGATCAGTTGTCTATTTTTCTGACTGAACTCGCCGTTTGCCAACGTGTCGAACATGCTTCACGCATTGTCAGAATAAAACTAACCGGCTTCTACGTTCGTTCTTTTTGCAGGTCGCGAGATCGTTATATAGTCAAGGTAAGGTTAATCACAGATGATGTCTATTAAGGCAGTGATGAGATATAATGAGGAGTTTCCGAAAGTGGCAACCATGAAAGTGATATTCTGGAAAGACAATTCGACAGGAATCTATTAATTAACAAATCATTTTTGTAGGGCGTCCTGTAATAATCTATGCCGAACATGTGCCCAATGCTAAAACTCCATTGTAAGTAACACTGCATAGGTGTTATTTTATATTTGAATATATACATAATACAAAAATATATCTGCTTTTCAACTGTGTTGTTAATATATAAGTTTAATTGTGCTGCACATATTTAGAAATTTTAATTTTTCGCTGTAATTGTTTTCAATTTTAGAAGGATAAGAACAAAGTGAGAAAGGTTAAAGTATTCTTTTGCTTGTAGATGTAGGAAATATAAGGCAAATTATTATTGGATAAATCAAGCGAGACATATACATTCAACTTCATCACTATGTGAGTATAACATTTTAGATTCTTTTGTTACATGTTGAAGACTATATATCTCGTCTTTAGTTGCAAATATAAAAACTCGAGTTAATTTTTTTGTGTGATTCGTGTTTTCTAAATAGGGGAGATCAAGGAAGTTGTAGTCCCTGCATTTGCGGAAAGTGTAAGCGAGGGCGATGTGAGGTGGGAGAGGAAAGTCGGCGACCAAGTTAAGGAAGATGATGTTCTTTGTGAGATTGAAACCGATAAAGTATGCCTTTTCAGTTTCTCATTTCTTCCCGAATAATTACAATACAATTATGAGGTATTGATATTTAACCACGCTTGTTTGCAGACTTCGGTTCCTGTCCCCTCGCCCGGACCTGGCGTTATTAAGGAGATTTTCGCTCAGGATGGAGACACGGTGAAGCCAGGACAAAAATTATGCACCATCGATATCGGTGCGACCGGCGGAGCTGCGGCCGCACCTGCGGCGGAAAAACCGAAACCTGCTGCTGCGGCCGCGCCGCCTCCTCCACCGCCTCCGCCACCGCCGCCATCTGATAGTGCAGCGACTCCTGCACCGCCGCCACCAAAACCCGCGGCGCCTATTCCGCCTCCCGCTGCACGGCCACCACCGCCGCAAAAGCCCACTGCATCGATGCCGGTTGCAGCTATCAAACACGCGCAGGTAAACGTCAAAGAGAATTCTCCACTTGAAAGCATTATGATGGTAAAAAAAAATTATATACTTTCAGTCGCTGGAAGGCGCAAAGGTTCAACTACCTCCCGCCGATTACACACGTGAGATTATCGGCACCAGGACGGAGCAGCGAGTAAAGATGAACAGGATGCGTCTGCGTATCGCGGAACGTTTGAAGGACGCACAGAACACGAATGCTATGTTAACTACGTTCAACGAAATCGATATGAGGTAATTTCTATCGATTATTGCAGATTGTGTTGATTGAATTGGGTGCTTAAAACTCTCTTCACGTTCTTATCACGTTCATCTAATTCATCTTGTGTTCAAAATATATGTGCAATGTTCATGCTCTTGTTTACATAACACGTATCATTAATTTGCAGTCGCATTATTGAGTTCCGAAAAACACATCAAGAAGCATTCACGAAAAAGTACGGTCTGAAATTCGGGTTCATGAGTCCGTTTGTCGTGGCCAGCGCGTACGCGCTGAAGGACCAACCCGTGGTGAACGCCGTGATAGATGGCACCGATATAGTATACAGAGATTACGTAGATATTAGCGTGGCGGTTGCGACGCCGAAGGGACTTGTCGTGCCGGTGCTTCGCAGCGTGGAGAATAAGAACTTCGCCGAAATTGAGATCGCTCTTGCAGCTCTGGGCGATAAGGCCAGAAAAGGGAAGATCTCCGTCGAGGACATGGACGGCGGCACGTTCACGATAAGCAACGGCGGCGTTTTCGGCTCGCTTTTGGGAACTCCTATCATTAATCCGCCGCAGAGCGCGATTCTCGGTATGCACGGTGTCTTCGACAGACCGATCGCCGTTAAGGGAGAGGTAAAGTTCTGCAAAATGTGCACTAAGAATCACTATAATTCCTGTTGAAAGAATTAATTAACACTTATGTCTTTGCAAATGTTTCTATGTAAATGCACAAATATTTCTATTTGTAAATATTTTTTAGGTTGTCATTCGACCAATGATGTACGTAGCTCTGACGTACGATCACCGGCTGATTGACGGACGTGAGGCTGTGATGTTCCTGAGGAAGATCAAAGATGCCGTAGAGGATCCTAGAATTATATTGGCTGGCCTTTAATAACTTAAAACAAGTGTGTTAATGACTTCTACTTAAATCACCAAGATAAACAAGAGCGCGCGACACGAGAGTCTGGATAGTCTCGTCAGAGAGTCTTCCCGCTTCGGAAACTTCTTTTCATTGGAACATTAAGAAACCTGTCAATATTTTGTCCGTTAATTTTGAATCGCATATGGAATGACTCGGCGAGTGCGATTACGAATGACGATAAGCACGCGAGCTAGTCTCGTTTGTAATTTTGAATTTTCACAGTAATTTTGTGAAGCAACGCATAAAATATAATGAGTCACTTTGACTTTGTAACGCTAGTCTGTTATTGGATGACATAATTTTTGTTATCGGACCTTCGAACGCGATAGTCAAATAGCGATTACGTAATCGATTGTTACGTTTTACGCGCGAAGCGTCGCGACGTGTCCACGAACTCTTGTATTTTTACCCCCTTCGTGCGCGCCAAACCGACTTGGATCGATGGAGGGGACAGCGCAAAGAGGCGGAGGTCAAGGAAGCTAGAAAATACTTCATTAGATGTACATTAAATCCACAAGCTAAAATAAAACCTCACTAATTTACGTGTTTCAGCATTGTTGAATTGTGATCACAGCGGCCATAGGGGATACTTAACGCGCGATTTGATAGATCTTTAAATAGAAAAACAATGTTATGTTTGCACTTGTACTGAGCATTTTAAAATCCATTTAACGAAAGTTTTTGCACTCGAAAGAAAACAGGATATTCGTTATTTGCGATCTTGTAAATCAAAATTGTTTCTGAATAAAAACGTGAATCAACGTGAAAGTGTTTTATAAACGAGGGGGGCATTAAATGATGCGTTCACGTACAAAATACAGTACACTGCCAAAGTCTACGAATATTTCGAATCGCTAAATCGAATATTTGATACGAATCTACTGTCGTGGATTAATGCATGCTATATCAGCGTGAGTTATACAATGTTTTCATCATTCTATACATTTGCATAACGAGAGCATTCAATGAATCGCTTTATGCGCGAAAATGTGAATGCTCTTTTAGTCTCATTGTAAAATACATTGTATATCGAGATGAACGTTTTCGGGGATCTAGAATTAATCTTCTGGAGCCCTTGTGCAAATAAAATTTGCTTTACAAATATGTTATGGGTATTCGTTTATTGTTAATGAAATAAATATTTTAAAAAACTTACGCCAAAAACTGTTTTAAAAATAGAAGCTATGAAGTCTTAAAAATAGATATTTATATAATCAGTTAATATTAGTATTTTATTACATATTTAATATAAACTTTAAATTATTTATTACATATTTTTAAAAAAAGCTTACCTTGCGAGATGTACTGCAAGAATCCGCTACGATACCAACTTGCTATCGATCAGAAACAAAAGGGTGGATCGATATTCCCGTATCGACTGTGTCGACATAGCACACTCGAATCTGGCGTGTTCTGACGAGTGACTTGGCTGTTTCGAGGAACAGTCAAGCGTCGATGGAAAATGGTAAGTCTCTGAAATTAAAACAGGTAACTTTTTATTTATTACAAGAATATGGAATTGCGTTATTCAGCATAATTGGAATAGTGCACAATTGCATACTATTGGTTTTAAAAAATCTGGTTAAAGTTTCTTAACATTTTTTTAGGTTAACTATTTCTCAAATGTTAGTCTATCTTACTTTAACTCTGTCTAAAAAAAGTGTATAATAAATTAATCGAAAGTGTTTGTAAAATAAATATTTCTAACGTGCTATAACTAATAAACTGCATATTAAATGTTATAACAGGGTCAAAACCAATCCGGTACTGGTGGTAGTGGAGGTGACAAGAAGGATGACAAAGACAAAAAGAAGAAATATGAACCACCAATTCCCACAAGAGTGGGTAAAAAGAAGAGGCGTACTAAAGGACCTGATGCAGCTTTAAAACTGCCTCAAGTGACTCCTCATACACGTTGTAGATTAAAGCTTCTAAAAATGGAGCGCATAAAGGATTATCTGTTAATGGAGGAAGAGTTTATCAGGAACCAGGAACGCTTGAAGCCGCAAGAGGAAAAGAATGAGGAAGAGAGATCGAAAGTGGACGATCTACGTGGAACACCGATGTCTGTTGGGACATTGGAAGAAATAATCGATGATAATCATGCAATAGTGTCGACCTCGGTCGGCTCTGAGCATTACGTGTCTATCTTGTCATTTGTAGACAAAGATCAATTAGAACCTGGTTGCTCTGTACTGTTAAATCATAAGGTTCATGCAGTTGTTGGTGTCTTAGGAGATGATACGGATCCTATGGTTACAGTGATGAAGTTGGAAAAGGCTCCTCAAGAAACTTATACTGATATTGGAGGTGCATAATATATTCATTTATATAGATTTTAACAAATCTAAAATTAATATTAGTCGGGCTTTTAAAAATAAAGAGGTTTTCAACTCTAAAATTTAATATAACAAGATATAATTAAGCATTGGTATTAAAAGTTTTACTTTTGAAGCAAGTTTTACGTAAGAATAAGAGTACGATGCAATGGATATTTTGGTATTTTCAGGTCTTGACACTCAAATTCAGGAAATCAAGGAATCTGTAGAGCTGCCATTAACCCATCCGGAATATTACGAGGAAATGGGTATTAAGCCTCCAAAGGGTGTGATACTTTATGGACCACCTGGCACTGGAAAGACACTGCTAGCCAAAGCTGTGGCCAATCAGACATCAGCTACATTTTTGAGAGTTGTTGGTTCTGAATTGATACAAAAGTATCTTGGGGATGGTCCTAAGCTTGTGAGAGAACTCTTCCGAGTTGCCGAAGAGCATGCCCCTTCCATTGTCTTTATAGACGAGATTGATGCAGTAGGAACAAAGAGATACGATAGCAATAGCGGTGGTGAGAGGGAAATTCAAAGAACCATGTTGGAATTACTTAATCAACTTGACGGTATGCTAATTTCTACGCAAATATTACAGAATACTGTGGAAAACTTTTTATATTGACTTAAAAAATGATTATTATTAGGTTTTGACAGTAGAGGCGATGTGAAAGTAGTTATGGCTACCAATAGAATAGAAACCTTGGACCCTGCCTTAATCAGACCCGGCCGTATTGATAGGAAAATAGAATTCCCACTACCAGATGAGAAAACTAAAAGAAGAATTTTCAATATTCACACGAGCAGAATGACTTTGGCGCCTGACGTAAATCTTGCAGAGTTAATCATGGCCAAGGACGATCTTTCTGGTGCAGATATCAAGGCAAGAAATTCTTTTTAAGAATACATACTTATTTACACCATATTTTACTTATAATACAAACGTATTTTCTTATTCTTCGTGTTAATTTGAAATAAAAAATTTTCTTTCAGGCAATATGTACCGAAGCTGGTTTAATGGCTTTACGTGAACGGCGTATGAAAGTTACTAGCGACGATTTCAAGAAATCAAAGGAAAGCGTATTGTATCGGAAGAAGGAAGGATCTCCTGAAGGATTATATTTATAAAAAAATTCATCATTGTCTCTGTATAACAAGTCACATGCTTATTCAAGTGGTATATCAATAAAAATTTCTATTAAAAAATTATATTAACTTTTATAGCATTATATCTGTAAAAGTGTTATTGATTTTTATTAAATTTTACTCGATTGTTTGTCATATTAAAACACGCCTATTTAAAATTGATCCCAATATTTGAATTATTTAAGATTGGTTCAAAATATTCATGTAGCCTATTTATTACTTTCGTGGAATGTGTTTTTTGATCTTTTAAAATCTCAGAAAATGGCATATCATGTATATTGGGATTTTGTGATTCTGCACTGCATATATGACATGCACCTCGTCTAGTTTTCTCGAGAATAGCAGCTATATCTGTAGGATGTTTTGAAGTAGATGATAAAGTAGCAGCCAGGCTTTTGTATTTCCCCAATGTAAAAGCAGTTTCGAAACCGTCTTTAAAGCCAATGTCAAATCCCTCTTGCAGCACTGAGTCTGCTCCATCCTGTACGCCTTCCCTATAACCAGTCTGGAAGCATAATAAATCAAATGCAGTAAACAACATGAGAGATATATTAAAAAATATCAATATTCAAAATGTTCTGTGTACCTTGCTAGCAGCATTCATAACGCGTTCCCAACATTTCGAAGCAATCTGTAAAGACTCGTCATCCTCTGTCAAATATAAATTGCTTTTTGTCTTTATATCTTCCATTTCTCAGTTATCTTGCAAAATTATCCGTCCAAAATAATTCCGCAAGCAACTCTAACGACAGCCTGTCTCGCGTTAATCAGATTCGACAAAATCGATTCAATAAATCGAATAGGCATTAAAAATTCACGCAGCGTATTGATGTATACGTCACCAACTGATTAACTGATGTTTTGACCATGATGACAATAAACATTGCAAGATAGGTAAGATAGGTCAGGTTAAGTTAGTCGCTGGGAACTCAAGGGTCGAATATGTGCTAGGAAAACGATACGCACAATTTCAGTGAAAAAATGCCAGGACGTAGGCGAAAGAACAAGCATTTATTGATGCAAAGGAGGCCGCGGCATGTTCTCGGCAAGGAGGAGATGTACCATCAAAAGCGGGACAGAGAGTCGGAGGAAACGGACAAAGAAAACGAGGAGACAGGTTAGAAAAGGGGCTTGGATTTCAAGACGGGGATACGATTTTGACGGTCATTGCAACTGTGATTAAACATTTGCAGAACCCGCGAATGAATGGCCGTTGCAGTTCCCCGTGGCAATGTGGGATCTGGAGCAATGCGATCCCAAGAAGTGCACTGGCAGGAAGTTGCTGCGGCACAACTTGATAAAGATACTGCGACTGGGCACGCGATTTTCGGGACTATGCCTGACCCCGGCTGGAAGCAAGGTAGTTGAGTAAACGGAGAGACTGCCGTGTGCAATGTCAGTCGTCATTGTAGATGCTTGGTATAACAGCAAGATGTTTTGTCACAGTGCGTGACCCCGATGGACCGCGAGATCGTGCAGCAGTACGGTTGTGCAGTTGTGGATTGCAGTTGGTTTCAGCTGGACAAGACTCCCTTCAACAAAATAAGAACATCGCATCCACGTATACTGCCGTTCCTGGTCGCTGCCAATCCAAAGAATTTCGGGAAACCCTGTGAATTGAGTTGCATGGAGGCTATAGCAGCTACTTTAATCATAACAGGATTCCCGGACGAAGCCAAGCTTTATCTTGAAAAGTTTCGGTGGGGAGACTCGTTCTTAAAAATGAACGGCGAACTGCTGGAAAAGTACGCATGTTGCACAAGTGTTCAAGAAATTGTAGCAGTACAAGATGCATTTATACAAAATGCCTGGCAAGAGAGAATAGACAGGCTTGGTGAGAATGCTTTGTGAGAAAATTGTCCTCTGCTTATTATTTTAATATTAATATCGTCTTCGTTCTTAGCGCTTCCTGATTTTCCACAAACTGATACTGAATCTGAAGAAGAAAAAGAGGAAGAAAAGGAGGAAGAAAAGGAGGAAGAAAAGGAGGAAGAAAAGGAGGAAGAAAAAGAGGAAGAAAAAGAGGAAGAAAAAGACAATACAGTTTCAGATGTAACTAAGAAACTAGACAATGCAACAATATGAAGTACAATATTGATTCTAGGTAAATTGAAAATTAGGAAAATTGATATTAACAAGTATAGCAAGGACTTGTATGTGTGTGTATATATATACACATACGTGTGAATATTTTGTATATTTTTGTGAAATATTGACAACAGATTCATTAATATATTGTGAATAAAGCAACGAAGAAAAAGTCACTTGTTATTTTAGCAGTTTATTATGAAAAAATGAAATATTCTATTAAACTCTTACTTTAGCTTAGTTGAAGATTGATACATATATTTATAATAATACTAATCACTCGACTTAATTTTTCAATTCTTGCAAAATCGAGCAAGAACATGTTCATTGGAATCAAAGTCGCGGAGTAAACGAAGTTTGTTTTCCCGCGCGACCTCTTTCAATTCTTTGGTAAAATTCTGCAAATCCTCTTTGCGCAAATCTGCCATGCATTTGCGCAACTCTACAATCACTGGCGCACCCGTCGACGCCAACGGCGCCAGATTTGCCAGTTGCTTTGTCATATTGTGCGCTATCCAAATGAGATGAAATCTACCCACGTATTCGCGTTTAGATTTCAAAGTTTCCAGCGACGTCACAGGATGAAAGATTACCTAAAAATAAAATTGTTCTACATGAAAAAGTTCATCGACTCGTCGCCAAATGCAAAATGCACCTTGTGATTTGGTACTTCCATCCAGGAAATTCTTTCTTTATCCAGTTTGGATTTGTTTTCGGCATTCGTCCATGACTCATTCTCTATTTCAACGTCCGGCATCTCGCACACTATAGTGCCATTTAAAATTGAGGCATCTCGATGAGCGCCGACATACTCTTCACATAGCGGTTCTTTCGTTCGTATTTCATGAATTGCACGCATAATCTCTCGTTCCGCAATGTCGGTTGCTCTAAACCTTTAAGAGGTCCAGTTTGAGTTTCATCGTAAACAAATACACAATATCTTTGTTGAAGAAGACTTACTTCTGGTCTTCCTTTTCTTCAGTGGCAGCCCAAGTGAAAAAGGGACCGTTAACGATATCTCCCAGGTATGCGTAATGTATAAAGCCAGGTCCGTATTGTATTATATTGTTTAACAAAGTCGGATTACTTCTGGCTGGTTCACCTTCCAACCATATAAACGCTACTCCATTATTTCTCCAAAATCTAATTGATTATGATAATAAATCATTGTATATTTTTCTAGCTGACAAATATTGAGATTATTTTATCCAAAGCACATCATTGTTCCGACCATATATTTGTAATATATTACCTGTATTCTTGTATAGTAAGATTTGTATTGCATCTGGGTTTCAAAACCATATAATAATCCCAATCGAAAGCACCTTCTCTGTAGTCATATCTCGTTTTTAATAATTTTCTAATTCTGTGATCCCAGTAGTTCACAATGGGAACTCCTTCGCACGTCGCGCGTGTCCAAAATCTTAAAAAAAAAAAAAAATAAATAAATAAATAAATATTTGTGGAGACACATTAAGTATTTTACTTCTTAAAATCAAACGTCCTTTCTCTGTTACATTATTATGCGTTTAAAAATAAAAATATTTACTTAAAAATGCTTTCCAAATGATCTCTATCCTTATGCTTAAATTTTTCTAACGATAACCATGGACAGTCAATGGTCTGAGTCGGAATATCGATCAGTTGTTTGGCGCATTTCGCTAAGTATTTAGCTGTAGCCGGCCTCAGAAGAGTGTTTCCTAAAATCTCCAAGTAATATCGCGTTGCCTCCTGCAATCCTTTAATACATAAATAATAAATATAATTTTCTTCGACCTAATTATAGTGAACTTGCTATTTATTTGCAAGTACATACCCAAATTTGTTTCCAAGCAAACGCTCAATAAAAGCACCGATCTGGCAACTTGCTCTAAGGTTGGCTCGATAACGTGATACGTGATTTTCCGGTCGGGATGCGTGTAAGATGATGCTACTGTTTTCACGATGTGCCGTGCATCACCAGCACCTACAATTAATACTTCAAGATTGGTTGAAACTAGGTGTTCTGTTTGAGTTAATTCGGCTTGCAAATCCAAAGGATGACTATATCCCCACCACATGTTATGTTCCGTGATTTGTTAAACTTTATGAAATTCAAAGCTTTGCAGAAACACTATGTGTACACTATGTATTTTCTGTTATTGTTGCCAAGTATGGTTCAAGATCTGTTATCTCCATGACAACACGAGTACAAATGAACAGTACAAATGAAAATGATACTTATTTGAATTCTGTATATATTTTTTATGTATTGGATATTTTCTATTTTTTTAAAAAATCATTCCGTCTGCTCGAACAAATATATACATTATTTCACAAGTCATTCGAGGCAGAAATTAATGATAGAAAGACACCTGGCAAGAGGAGTAAGAAGCATTATATTAAAATAAAAATATTATAGATTTATATAATAAAATTATAAACATATAATTATATATATATATGTATGTATATATATATATGTATATATATATATATATAGCGACATATAGTCATGTTACTTTTAAAC